TCGTCCTTTTTCAGCGATCTTCGACCCAAAAATACCTTCAAAAATGACATTTTCAGTAATTTCATACAATGTACAAAGATTTCTACCACTATTTTCAAAAAAATAAACCTTCAACATCCAAATTCAAAGATTAATGGGAGAACAAATAAGCAAAACTTACCTTCTTCGCCTCTAATGATAGCCGGTCGGTCTCCTTCCAAGAAAAAGTCATCAGTTTCCTTGCTATTTCTTTCCCTTCTTTCTCTAGACGTCGGTGTGAGTGATTTGTGTTAGGGGCAATATTGACTTTTCATTGTTTTTTAAGTTTTTACAGATTTTCATTTTTTTAAAATAGTAGTCAATGCCCATTTTGGAAAAATAGCTCTTTTTCTTTGCTATCTGCCACCATTTCCTCGAAGTTTTATCCCATTGTTTCTTATGTCATGTGCATATCATTTGTTAATCATCTTAAAACAAAGTTAAATTAAGTTTGAAAAACCACGTTTACACTTTTTTCGATATGACTACATGTAAAATTTTATTGACTTCCCCGATATACAAGAAATTGATTGTATCCAAGTTTGCAAACCATAATAACGAAATGACAAAAATCATAAAAGTTTTTTACATACATCGATAAATTCGACTATTAAATCGATCAATCATGTCCAATCTAGCAAAGTTGATTTTGTATCCTTTTCCTTTTTCATTCAAAGCAATAACAAAATACTTCATTTTATTATTTAACTAAAATTAGAATTACACAATTTTTTCTCCCTACATTACTAAAATTAGAATTACACAATTTTTTCTCCCTACATTCAACTCCTCTTACATCTATCGGAAGATGCTAAGTCAATTTGTCCTACCTAAATTTGTTGATCATGAACTTAATCAAAAACCGACAAATATTGATTCTTATTCAAGCATCGAATAAGTTGAATATTTATGGTTATCCACAAAATCAACTTTTCCACATATGGTAACAATTAAACATTGACATAAAGCATTTACCCACTACCATTGATGTAACTTCACTATATATTAATTTAAAATTTGTCTTAACATACACGCTAATTGAATTTCTTTAAATAAATTATAACGACAATACTCAAATTTAGAAATTTTACTTCATTTTAGTATCGTACGAAGCCCCTTTTTGGTTTGACTTAAAAATTTGATAAAAATTTATGTTAAAGTCAAAAATTAATTTGAATAATAGAAATTTACAACTTTTTAATTATAAATTTCATCAGTCTTTTTTTTATCAGAAATCTACTAAAATTTTGATTATTAACTACACCAAACATAAATTAAGCATATTTGTTTAAAATTTTAGTATCGGTTAAAACTGGACGACCCCACTCTTATACCCTAATAATTTTGGGCACGTAACTTTGTTCACATCTGTCCAATTGAAGTTCCAACTTGCTACGCAATGTTGGTGTGAAAAGATGTTTCCTTTAAGAATTCCCAATCACGACAAATTGTGATTAGTACAAGTGGGAGATAATATAGACAATGAGTGGAACCCTAGAAAGTTCAATTTGACGATGATCTAATGAGTAATAATTTTTTATTAATATAGAAAATTATCTTGATAGTAGCATAGGAGATAGAGACATGAAATATTAATATAGACTACCTACCTACCTAGCTAGTAGTTAAGTAAGTATGGGAAGACTGCACTCTGAGAAAATTGAGTGTTTTAATGTGATCAATCTTTCAGATGTGTAAAAATCGAGACCATTGATTATTTTAATATTGTTAAAATCAATGGTAAAGTTATGTGTCACATTATGAAATGTCAACCAAGATATAAGTGTAGCAAAACTATTTTTTTTTTTTTTTTGTGTTTTCACTGGTCTCGTGATACTCTTTTAAAAATTTAGTTTTCATTCCATATTTGGAGATATAAAATTCTTTTTTTAAGTGCAAAAAAGTTTTAAAGTGAAACTTAAAGAAAGTCCATGGAATTTTTAGTTTGATCATTAATAAATTTTGTTAGTTTATTCTATCCAATTTTTTCATGGTTAAAGATTCCTCGTGAATAGACCCAACTTTTTGTTTAAGGTAAAATCTCACATCAATTAAAGTGAAAACAATAAATAACATAATCTTTTAACAAATTGGACAATTTATGACAAAAAATGCCGAAGGAAGAGACTTTTGAGAAGGGTTATTAATGTGAACGGCTGTATAGAGTTTGGGTTTGTAAGAAAGCTAAAGCCAGAAAATTGAGTGTTAATGTGAACAATCTAATCTTCCTCATGATAATGGCAGCCATTTCTTTTGTTCGTATTAGGCAACAATATTCTTCACCTTCCCCTTTTTCAAATTTTCATCATGCCATTTTTTTCTCACTTTATATAGTACTTTACAATTAAAAAAAAAAAAGTTGAACCCCACCACCCTGTCCTTAGAGCATTTTGAGGGAGGTAAATCGTGGGATGTTCCTAAACAGGCCAGAGAACAAGAGTTTATCCGTACACTAATGCCCATAAGGAGTCCAATTTCATATATCAGGTCGAACTCTCACACCGCAGCTGCCAGCAAAATTGTGATTACCTTACTCCTCTTTTTTGCACCACTAAGTTATGCACCTGGAGACAGTACTTTGCAATTACTATGCTACGTCTTGCTATGTCGTGTGATCGACTAAACAATTAAAAAGGGTAAATTTTAACTTTTATCCCTTCTACATAAAACGACAAAATCACATAATTATGACGAATCACATCTCAGAACAATTTCCCAAAGTTCTCGTACTAATGAATTATCTACTTATAATTGTATTACTATTGTTTGAAACTACTATTTAGTTTTATTTGGACTTTCATATTCGAGTAGAACTAGCAATAAATCAAATACAATGATGAAAAATGATTTACATAAACGATCCCAGATCTCTAAACACAGTACATAAAGACAGGTCGAAACAAGCCATTACACCTGCCACACTTGTATGTGATGAAACACTTATTTTTCACAAAATCAACATTAGATTTTATCAGAAGATAAGTAGATAGAAAATGATCCAACATAGAGCTGTGTACAATTCATAGGATATCAATCGTTGGTCTGTACATAAGACGGTATGGTTTGACAAAGACTTCGTATTAAAAGCCAATCATGCTACATGAATATAAGTGTCCGTTTTGCCCCCATTCTTAGTTAATTTTAATGGATGGAACAGTGTTTTTTTTAAATGTGTGATTAAAAAAGAATGAAAAGTATTTATTTGTGTGTAATATTATTTTATGGAAGATTGTGCGATTGAAAATAAGAGAGAGAGAGAGAGAATGAGAATGGGATAAAAATGAGAGCCAAACATGAGTTAAAATTTGACATAATATCACATGACATTCTATTATTGAATAGTTTAAATCACAATCAACTTTTTCATTCAATCACTTTCTGCCATATACAATTATATCAAGTTTTCTTTCAAAATCTTCTGTCAAAGTAGCTTTTTCCTCAAAAAGCCGGTAAACCTGTGATATAAGCAATAACATATTTCCTCAAGTAAAACAAA